ATGTATATGTTTATTATTCAAATATTGAAAATTAAAAATACCTTTAATTAAAGCCATAGTCGCGGCCTTTAGCGGTAAGTCCAATGTTAACGTAAACAAATGTCACATCATCATCCGCCGTTATTCCTCCGTTACTGGATACTTTTAAATAGTAATATAGTTTCTAAACCAACAACGTGTAACGGTCAGTCATGCACTGTTCACATATTAGGGGCGAGAGAATGTCAAAGCGGCCAAATAGCTCAGTTGGTAAAGCCGGGGTACGGTAATGCGATGGTCCTGGATTCAATTCCATGTATCACCGTGGGTTAAGATAAGAATCATTAGATAATGTTATCACCATGGGACATATATAATTATGTCAAAGTTGAAGCTGAAATTTTGCAAAGTTCATCTTTTATTACACCATACCTACATCGAATGCTAAAACTTAACGTTTGGCAAACAATCCTATATAATGGTCATTGTCGCAGAATGATACATGTATATTGATCAATGCAAAACTCATAGAAAAACATTATATGTCCTTGGAAATGTCATAATAGACCAAAACCCACTTTCAGTGGCAGTTTTCCTTATTTGCCTTTGTAAAAATAAAAATTTCCAGATTGGGGGATTTTATAAATACCTTAAAAGAACATTTCCCTTGATCTAGTAGCCTAATTAATTCGGCGTTAACGGTTTGACCCATTTTTCAAAAGTTGTTTTTCAAACCGTTTTTTTTTTCAAACCGTTGGAAATCCAAAATTATCGAAAGTCTAAATTAGTAATTAGCCGGATTTTGATCTAGTAACCACTGTCTACATTGTATCTGTCTCTGAGTACTGCCAACCTCTTCCGCACGTGTTATAAGCAGGAATAGTGCACGTCAGACGTGTTAGTAAATGGTGTAAAATGAACATTATCAGGACAATGAGATACTTCAAGAACACTTCAAGCCATTGTTAAAATGTTTTATTAGTAAGAGTGAAGGAAGGATTAAAAGTAAAAACACAACTTTTATGTTTTCTCCAGCTTAGAAACATTTCGGGATTTTGAGAAAGCTACTTGACAAGTTTTTGTGACCATCGCCTTTTTAAAACGACTATCCCGCCACAAAATTTAATGTTCTATTATTCTAAATTCTAATCAAGTACGCTAATGGCGGCGCCCATGGTTTCAAGCGTCATCAAGACACCAGAATCATTTCCAGTTAAAACAAAGCAGGTTCATGGATTAACATACTATTTTAATGCTTCCTTTAACTACCTAACGTGTCCATGGATTTATATTTAACATGTACCTTTTGAGTTCCTGGAATAATTTCAATTATTACGTGTTTTCGCGATCATGTTAAAATTCATTGAAATTGTAGAGTGGTTGGACCAATGGTCGGCGCATACCAATGCTCGGCGTAAAAATACTTTTTTTTAGAATATCTGAAAATGTATCGAGTTATCTCCGATTTAGGTCACTGGTGCTTTTATTTACATCTTTCACCATTTTATCCTGGTGTGGTTCACTGCTGGTAAAGTCACGTGACAATGCTAATAGCAGACGAACAACCGTATGTAATCCGCAACATATAAATTATTAAAATATTTTAACACTAGAGTTTTGGGGCTGTAAAATTTAAACTAAAAGCTGGGTACTTGTAAATGTATGAACCTTCATTTGGTTGTTACAATTTATTTTTCTTCATAAAATAAAAAATAGAGACTAATCGAAAAACAATCCTGCATCATGTAGTATTGTACGCTGAGCTATGGTACAATTTCACGCAAACCACTCTTGTTTATCCGGACTATCTATAGCTCCAGCCATGCACATCATTATGTGATTAGCGAATTTTACACAATGGCTATTTAAAACAATATCATCGGTCTTGAAAATGGACATATAACATTGAGGTTTGTTGACGTTGATTTGAATTTGCCATATCAAATAATAGTATTTTTACGCCGAGCGTTGGTCCACCCACTCTAGATATGATATTGTTCCGTTAAAGAAATACCTTGCCGATTATCATTGAGTAAAGTTATGGGCGTCCATGAATAACATTATGTCTTTGACTCTTTATTACATTTATCAGTTTATATATTCACCTAAACAGACATTAACAGATTAGATTGCCAGATTACCGGTCTCGCGATAATATAAAATTAGGCAAGGCTATGAACGGGGAAGTCGGTAAAAAAAAATAGTTCCTTTTTTTTCCTTTTTAAAGGTTTCATTGGTTATTTATGGACCGCTTCCGTTTTCACATGCAATACGTAGAGAATTAATATTAATCCGAAAAGTTGCGATTGTTTGTTATCGGAATACCCCGCCTTTTATCATTGAGTTACAACTGTACATTGAAAATGGCTGCGCCAGACTAGAACTGACGTTGAAAATTTCATTGATAGTAATAGAATTCTAAATATGATTTAATTGTTTTATTTGATTTTCCTTTAAATATACACATGTAGTCTATAGCTGGGCAAGCCAAAGCCCGGGACCGCTTGGCCTTTGACTTCCTAGATTAATTAAAGATAGTTCACTATGATATTTATATGAGAATAATGCCTAACAGAAGCATAGTTTGGTTTAGACTTATGAGTACACCAGATTCTTTGATAGTCCCCAAAGAAATGTTTTTGCTCTGGCTTGTTGAAGATGGGTTGTGGCATATATTTAATACAAAAAATATGTTCAGGGGGATTTTATGAAATTGTAGGTGCACACAGAAATTATATATATATATATATTTTTAACTTTCCTTGAAGAAGGTGAAGGCCATGGCCTACTTCCTAACAAACTGAAAGCTTTTCCAATGACTTGAAATATGAAATTAGGCAAAGCCTATGAACGGGGAAGTCGGTAAAAAAATCTTTTCATTTTTCCGTTTTAAAAGGTGTCTTTTGGTATTTCATGTACCCGCTTCCGTTTTCACTCGGAACACTGGACGATTATGATTAATCAGAAAAGTTGAGATTTGTTCCATTATAGGAATACCCCGCCTATTATCATTGAGTTACATTGAAAATGGCGTCCCACTAGTATTGACACTGAAAATTTCATTTATATGTAGAATTCTACATATTTTTAATTGTTTTTAATTTTATTTTATTTTAAATATACAAATGTAGGCTATAGCCGGGCAAGCCAAAGCCTGGGCCGCTTCGCAGACCCGGCCTTTGACTTCCCTGTATAATTTCAATATTTGCTTTATCTCAGGTTGCAGTCGAGATTAACAAGATCAGAACAGAGTTGATTTGTACACAGTTTAAAGACAGAATCTTTTTCATAGTGACACAGTACAATAAGATTGGTACATTGGTATGTAAATAAGAATATTTTATTTTATTTTCTTTATACATCCATGCCAAGTAAGAGTATATATTTATATGGGCTGTTATTTTTTTTTATTTATTTATTAAAGGTTGAGTATGCCTATGAAACAATTTCTAGCAAAACTTTCCAGCCCGCTTCCTTCAACTAGCCAATACTTGTGTCATTTTATGATACATAATGGTGGTGACCTGAAGTGGGCTTGAACCCAAATGGCATGGTTGCAGGGAAAAAAATCACAATTTCACAGTTTTCTATTCAATTTTATACATTGTATATCAAGCAGTGAGTTCTTGCATACTGTATGTTAAACTTCATTTATTTTCATATGTATCATCAACTTTACAGGTAAAGGTGACACAGAACAATATCACTGATGACACTGGTACTGGATTATCTATGTATAGTACAGACATACTCATGGGAAAAGATGAGGTAAACCATGTACAAATTTGAAGTTTTCCATTGATCAAATTTTGGAAATTCAAAAAGTCAGTCAGCCATCAGTATGAACCAGGCCAGCCAGCACAGATGTTCAGGCTGGCCTGGCTCTACCCTGGTTGCAAAGGCTAATAACTTTGAGTTCCTGTAAGTTTAAAGTTAAAGATTTTCTATGAGAGGCCTGTTAGAGTTCTAAGAGAAAGTTTGAGATCTTTATGATTGATATGTTATGTCCATATTTGCAAACAAAGCATTCTATGAAATAAATCTGATTGTCTTATGTATTGTACTGAAATGTCTGGTGAGTATGAAGAATAAATGTTTGCACACTATAAACAATACTATCAACTAGACCTATCTACACACTGTTAGCATAATATTTAAACATACAATTTAGTGGTTTGATCATGTTGGTTTATTTTACTTTGTCCCCATCACTGCTTTAGGTTAAAATCATTATAGGTGAAAAAGATATTCAGTTAGCTTCAATGTTTCTACTTCTGAATCAGTGTTTCTTTGATGCATCACTATCCTTCCTTTATGCCTGGTTTTGTCCTACAATTCTATTGGTTAATTTTTTAGTCATGACGTTATGTAAATATGGTAAAAGATAGATCAGTTTCAGCAACTGACAAATTAAGAATTTTTCAACTAGAATTTTGATAAGATACAACTTAGCTTCCATAGTGTCAGTGACACTGTCCAGGAATTTTGTTCTACTTCAGTTTGAAAGAGGAGGGTCTTTCTCAACCTCTAATATAGAACTCACCATTTTAATTAATTCTGAGTGTTCTCTTGCCAGTAACGTGTTGAAGTCACCATCAAATATCTGTCACTAAAATTTTATTTTGTATTTTCAGCCTTTGACGCATGTGATTGCCAGAAATCTTATCACAGAGTTATCGGTACATAAACCAATACTGCTGTCATTTGCTCTGAAAGACATCACAGCACCGACGGTAAAAACCATTGCCAAGATTCTTCCCTCCATCGTCTAACTGTCTGTATTACTGTCTGCTTACAACAAAACTGTACTGAAAACTGAAAAGAAAGTTTGAGTGAAATAATTGAGAAAGCTAAAGAAGGATTCAGGGATTGTGTTGATAAGTGTTGAAGGCATTTATTGAAGGCATTTGAGTATTTTGATGATGGTCAGTGATAAATTGTGAAAGTTAAAGAGTAGTAAATTCAAATACAGAGCTAATAGTCTAGGAATTGTGTACCATTCTAATAGAACTACATTTTGAAATCCGTATATGTGTGAAAGTAACTGGGTATTGGCATTTTGTGACAATACTAATTGAGAGAAGGGATTAATGCAAAAAAAAAAAATGAGTTTGTATAAATTTATGCATTAATTCTTCTTGTATCTTTTGCCTTGTATTCTATACAATGGATAACATTGGAGTACAAAGTGGCAAACCTACCTTTATGGAGGAAATAAGTCAATGTCAGGATAAAACAACACTATTTGGACATTCCGTGAACGTTATAGGTAGACTGACAGTGCATGAGGTCGGCACTTGCTTGGCAAAACTTGCAGATTCTCAGAGTAAATCAGAAATATGTATAGACACGTCACTGATAGAGCCTTTCGAGGCAAGGTTTGGTTCCCTGTTCAATATGATAGGAGAGCTGGAAGCTGGGAACCAGAATGATATTGTGTTGAAGGCACGTGTTGTCAGGTGTGTAGATGGACTGGATCTGTCTCTGTACAGAAAGGCAATAGAAAGCCAGAGAAAATATTTGGAGCTAAGAAATGCAGTTTGACCAAGGCTTGCTTTTTCTTTTAGACATTCAAGCGACATTTGTTTTTCCTACATGCATCTGAAATTTTAACATTCCATTACACAATCATCTTTTTATCAAAACTTGATTGCTTAGGCAGGCAAAATTTTATTTCAAGTTGTTTTAGTTACTTACATGTTTTTGGCCAGCCTGAAATATAGATCATATATCATGGTCATATCCATTTTTATACATTGAACAATCACCATGAAATAAATATGCATGTATGAAAATTAATAAATTGTTTGATTTTTGTGTTAAACTATCAGGGGAAACAATCCTTTGTTATTTTGTGTGATGATTTTTTTTCTTGTACTGTCTCTTGTTCATTGTCGGATTACAGATTAAATAAATCAAGCACTAGTTATTTTTCAAGAATAAAATTTCATTGTGCAAAATGACCAAAAAAGTGTTGCAATGCTTTTCACTCATATTTGGCTTAGAAACTCTAAAAAGAGATGTTCAGTTTAATGCTAAGAAAATCTCTTTATTTTTATTCTTTGCATAGTGCTACAGTTTTATGTAAGAATTTTAAATTTTATGTTTTTAGGCGTTTTGACCTCAGAGGTGCTCCTTAAACATTAAACCAGATGATGTATCTACATGTAATACTGTTGGAAGTATAGCCATATTTATACATACAACATGTATACTGTGTGATACAGAAAGGTTATTTTTTCTTAATAAGAAACATGATTTAGTATTTTACGTTGACCAAAAAGAAAAAGCAAACTACATTTTCTTGGACGCTACTGTTTGCAGTTAACATATTTGTTGCAAATGTAAAAGGAAATACATGAAGCACTCATTCTTTTTTCTGAAAGAATATTTAGTTGTACACACCTGTGCCTGTGGTCATAAGTTTTAGATGTTATATTTTCAAAACTTGTTTCCTACAAGGTTTTCAGACTTCTTACACCTTTTCTTTCTCTGATGATAGGTTGCTAACTCTGCAAAGTTCTACATTTTAACTGAGGTGTGAAAGTACAGTTGATAACTTAATTCATTGGACATTTGATTCCCTGAGATCACGCCTGGTAAAAAACAGCTACTTGTTCCTCTCTTTGAGGTATACAGTAAACTTTGTTGGCAAAAATCTCAAGAAATTGTCAAGAAAATAAAACAAGGTCATGTAAAAAATGTGTAGTTTATAAAAATGTCAAGATTATCCAATGAAAAGCCATGTGGAACATGGAGGGCACCATTTTTCTGATATTTATATTGATATATTAAACACTTATTGTCATTGATTTTGCTTAACTCTTAACATACTAAATATCATGAATGAACTTGTCAGTTGTTCAATCTGGACAAGATCTTTCGTAATTTTTAGAGAAATTTTCAAATATATATTAGATTGAATTGCGAACAATACGACATGGGTAGAAATAGTTGCAGCCAGCAGACTAAGGGAGATAAACCATATTCATCTGTGTAGTAAAAACAGAGTTATTTCCCCTGTGTAATACTACATCTTAAAATTTTGTAAGCAATGAAAACTTTATCGTTTACAATATAAAAACTTATTATTCTCATTTTCACGAAATAAAAACAACATCATTCTTTGCATTATTATTCTCATTTTCAATTTTTTATAATAAAGATTACAACTGACAGACAACCAGTTTTTTTTTTTACTTGGCAACATTCATGACAATAAAATTACACTGGTTATTTTATATTACTAAGAAATCATTACATTTAGCCACACATTTACCATGTTAAAACCCGGGTCTTATCATTTCATATGATGTAAAGCAATAGTCCATTCTAAACCTGCAGAACTCATTTATATCATTTTATATCAGTACTGGTGTGGATTTTATTTCCAACATTTAGATAAATCATCTGATTTCATGAAATGGGATACTTGGAACACTTCTCCAGAAATGATAAATCATTTTAATTGCTAATTGAAAGCTTGGCCAGAGAAGTATTTCCCTAAGACCTTGTATAATAATTTTGTTACTGGTGTTTCACTATTATTATATACTGCTATGAAAGTGGCTAAGGTATTCAGCTTGTTTACAGTTTTAATTTCTTCAGGTGCCTTTTCCAAGGGAGGTATATCCCAATAAATTGTGCGCAAGGGCTTTTTATTATATAGACGATGGTCGCCCGAGATGGCGCCAAATATATCTATGTAATATCAGTTTGTAACATCAGTCAGTCTTGCAGTGGAAATATTGAGATTACAAGGGAGGCAGCTCTTGAGGTCGTCCTTCAACAGTAAAGCTGGAAATTAGTCATTTTATGACATTAATAGTGTTCATGCATCCTAGTCCTAAGATATAACAAAAAAAAAAAATAATGAAAAAATACATCTTTAAACAAACAAAAAAACACAGCCAGTCTCTGTCATTCTCCTGTTGTACCCATTTAAGTACAAATGGGTAATTTATATGATTTAGAGGAACTTCAAAAAAAACTGCCCACATTAATTTTTCACCAACTATTTAAAAGTGCACTGACTAATGTAAATGAAATAATAGCCAATGATAAACTTTAGGATTCCTGGTGGTTTTCAAACAGGATACATGTAGATTTATTAATATAAAAATGTGTTTAAAACAGGATACATTTTCATAATGATATTAAAGCACATGAAAGTGGTATTTTTTTTATTTGTATCATATTTTGTGGACCTTTCTGTTGAAAATGTGTGAGTTAAATTAATTACATAAGCATGCACAGTGCGTTAACTGGAGTGCAGGTATAAGTTACCCGCACTCCAGAGCATGCCCATTGAATGGCTCATTTTCACTAGGGTTTACTTATTGTGACGGCAGAGTAAGGGAAAGTGATTGAAATATTATATTCAGATGCTCGTCCATTGGTTACTTTTTTTCTGGGGTTTCATATTGTGAAAACAGGGAACGTGTTTGTATGTTTGACTATGATACAAAAGAGAAAGAACATCAAAACACTCGGCACTCTGATTAATACTCGGGGACTACACCCGTCGTACAAATCGTGTTTCGATGCTCTTTCTATTACATAGAAGTTATTCTACAAAACTTAACAAACAAATACAATGGAAAGAAAACAATGAAAACTTGTATCACATTTCAATCAAATAATGAAAACTTGAGTGTAACTATGATTTGGCCCTTTGTAAATTTCTAAATAGTTATAAGTAAGGAAAATAAAAGCTTATATTAACACTGACATACTAGATTTTTTGACATTAAAGTGTTTTTGAATAAGGCAATTTCATAATCAAAGTTTCTCTAGAAAGATCCCCTTTATTCCAGTAGTTCATTTTGTACACAGTGCATGTATGATAACTAAAACACAGTTCAGGGTAAACTACCAATATAACCTAGATGACTTAATAACTTATGTATCTTCATGCTTTAGTACTTAACTCTAAGCATTATCTTAAATATATCCACTCCCAATCTTAACATTTTAAGTTAAACAGGTGCAAGAAAAAACATAAATCCTTACTGTATCTCTACACACTATCGGCATCATTCTTGATGCACTGCATTGAGAACTCCTATGAAAAACATTTTTATTGACTGTTTATAGCTAAATTTGTTTAAAATCTGTTAAGCGTTTCATTGGCAATGAAGGTGATTTTTTAGTTTTGAAGACCTCCCAGCGTATCTATGTGAAGTACTGTTAGATTACTGATAGTGGTAATCCAAATGGAAGCAACAACTAGTATATATCTGCATCATAAATTTCATCCTCAAATGAAGCACATAGACTCACTGATAAAAAAATAAAATTTATATACTTTGTATGTTCTATTTGGAAGAGCCTATCTGATGCTTGGTTCAGGAAATTTTTTCTTCTCAATGCTTTTTAGCTCGACTTTTTAAAAAAAAAAAAGAGTAGAGGTATTGTTATAGTCCTGGCTGCATTGCCATTGCTGTTGTTGTTGCCGTCCTCATGCTTGGCCACAACAACCCTTTGGACAAGACCTTTCAGTAGACCAGACTAAATTGACCTTCATCCATAAATGACCTTGGCCTTCAAGATCAAATGTCCAAATTTTGCTTGTTCTTGCTATTATTGGCTGTAACTTTGTTATTTTTGAATGGATTGTCTTCAAACTTGAAAATAATTATCTTCAAGGATAGCCCTTTAAAATAACCAGACAGACCTTGACCTTCACTCATAAATGACCTTGTTAAAATGTTGGTTTTTGAAGGAGCTTTGCTTTAATTGTATAATTATAAGATAAGAAATTCAAATACACCATAATTGTATATGGTTTATCTGTAACCATACTGTTATACTCTACCCATACATTAGCCATGCATTCAACAAATTATCTTCCAACAAAAAACAATAAGAAACATTCATACATTATCTAATGAAGTGTTAAAGTACACAATCATGCCCATACAAAAATAAACAACAAAAAACAACATTTATATGTACAAAATGTAACGTCTGCAGTGACTAAAGTAAAAGATCATTGTTTAGAGAGTAATTAATCATGAGATTTGTTTGTTGTGAATGTACTGCACATATCTACCATTCTCACATGTCCGCTATCTTGTCAAGATAAAGACTTGAGCAGATTTGTGAGGCCTTCTGTTTCCTCATCAGGCCGCTATATTATAATCATTGTTTCTAAAGAAACAAAGAGCTAGGTTCACTAACCATGGATTTTTGCCCAAGATTTTGGCAAAAAATAATTTGATGCAAAGTTCTTGTTTTTAGGTTTTATTTATAAGTTCAATCCTTAAACTGTTAAAAACATATGAATTTATAGACATATGTTTACATTTAGTATGATTTATGTTCTATGGAAATACCCCTATTTCCAGCAAAATTAGGAAAATTCACGTATTTTTGGTGTTTTAAACGAAAATTAAAGTATCAGCACAGTCGAGCCCCAACAAAATCATGACACCATTGTGTTGTAATGTATCAAAGGCTTCAACTTTATCAATATAAAGTTGGGGCTTGCCTGTGCTCTATTCCAAAATTAGATTTTTATCTAATATCTAAACGTCATTTTCTGACATTTATTTCATTTAAATGCAAACCATGGAGCATGTATATTGCACTCAACATTATAAATATTTGTTCTAAGTTGTTGAAATATGATTCATAACATATATTTAAATAAATGTTTGCAGGAAAATCATTTCTAGTAAATTAAAGGCACTTTCACTAAAATGAGTACGATGAAGTTTTGGTACGAGTTCGACGGTTTCCACTGTAACGGTTGTAAACAAAACTCTGACAGGTTAAAAGAATTAAATGTTAACGTTTATAAAGAAATGCTGAAATTATGTTTATGCCATAAATATTTCATTCATAGAATTAGCAATGTGTTGTTATGTAATTTTATTGATTCATTGAAAGAAGTTATGCTGTTCAGGCTATATTATTGCTGAATAGCCTACTTTTCTTTTGTCCTCAAAAACAACAACAACAACTGCACAGTGATTAATAGGTTTTCATGTCTTTTTAAAAGGCAGATTAAAAGAATTCAATTTACTTTGTGAAAATAAAATTATTGCAAGTCTCAAAACAATTTAAAAATACTGTATGTAGAGTATTTAAACTCTATAATTCCACATCGTCTGCATTGATGCATATGTAAAACTAGGCTACTTGTAAAATGATGTCATACCATGGTGGAATGTTGCATTAGCTCAGTGGTAGCATGGGAGCCTCTCACCCAGGAGAATTGAGTTCAAACCTTGATCATGAACTCTTTTTTTTCTTTTTCATTATCGTTTTCATAAATAATAAAATAGATAGTACTTTTTCAGTAAATAATATGTTATTTCCTTAATGTATTAAATTTTATTCCTTCATTTTTTTTAAAATTATGAGTCAATGCTATTTCATAGTTATTAAGGTATTAAAGATTTGTTAGACATTTAATTGCTTAAAAGTTAAGCAAGAAGGTTTAAATCTTATTAATTTAGTATTATTCTCATTAAAAAATATTACACAAGAAATTGCCAAAGCAGGAAATATGTTAGGAGTCAACGGACGAAATGTCTTCAGTAGACTTTCCCAGGATGAGAAAAAAGCATGGTATTAAGCTCTAGCTGTTTCCCAGAATAACTACACAGAAAGTCTTGACTTGTCCTTTTTCACAAAGGATCCTTTTATTTTATGCACGAAATTGCAGACCATACATGTAAGCAGCCATAACTACATAGATTGGATTATCTACATGAATGACAGCATTGATGCGTATTACTGCCTTTTTGTGACTCAGGTGCATGTACATAGTTTGAATGTGTTCCGATGTCTCCACTGTTACATGGTACCTCGCATATGGACACCATGAGGAGTGGTGAGACTCAGTCAGGAGTGAGAAATTG